TATCCCTTTCCATATCTTGTTTTGCACTTAGCGATTCTAAATGCATCTGTAGAAAAGATCCGACGCTGGTTGCAATTATACAAACATCGCTATCTGTGATCGCGAAGATGAAAATGATCAATACGTGCCTGGAAGCTACAGACACTGTCCTCATACTTTGGTCAAAAACTTTACATTGATATTGAAATGTTCAGACGAGAGACCTTTTGGATCATAGCAACAAAAGAGTTGGGTCAGATCTATGAAACATATACGTAGCACATGATTGAATAATTATTCTTCTAAACTAAACTTTCGACAGAAGAGTGCCATTACTTTCAAATTGACGTATCAGTGACAAAAACATTGTTCGATGCAATTCCCTAATTTTACTTGGGCCATTAAATTTTGCTCCCGTGTTTTTTTAAGGTGCACAGTTGCCTTTGCATGTGTTTGTGACGGGTGCCGCTGGTGGGAACTGATACGCTAAACCTTTGCGCGAACACCTGATATCATCACTATTTGACACTTCCGACTCTATCATGAGCATGTGTTTATGAATCACTATCAAATAGAAATGACACCAGGTATTCGCAAAAAGGTGAGCGTATCCGGCCCCACCAGTGGTACCCGTCACAAAAACATGCAAAGGCAAGTCAATTGTTCACCTGAAAAACATGGGAACGTATGGTACAAGTCAAAATAGGGAATTGCATCGGACTTCATTTTTGTCACTGATGCGTCAAATTGGAAATGCCCTCCACATGTCTACCATAAAACGTTTTGAAAGCTTAACTGAGGCCTTGAAAACACGCGTGAAAACGTAATAGACGATTGACATACACGTCTTCTGGAAACATATAAATATAAGTGTAAAATATAAACTGGGCGTGTATCAATGGAAGCAACCAACGTTCCACAGCGTGGGAAACATGGAATTTGTATGATGAAGCAACAGAGGCTTGCAGTCACATTGGTGATGTACCAATCCAACAGGATGATAAGAAAATGAGGAAAGTCACGAAACGGCTTGAATATAGTTGTAGTAGTAGCAGTAGTAGTAGTAGTAGTATCCTCATTCGTTTTCGGGGCGGTCGGGTAGCCTAGTGGTTAAAACGTTCGCTCGTCACGCCGAAGACCCGGGTTTGATTCCCGACATGGGTACAATGTGTTAAGCCCATTTCTGGTGTCCCCCGTGATATTTCTGGAATATTGCCAAAAGCGGCGTAAAACCATACTCACTCACTCACTCATTCGTTTTCAATCGATTCACAATACACTTCTGACTACTGTAGAATCTAAGCTGACTACTGTAGAATCTGACTGTTCCAAAGAGTGTACTCTATTGATACTTCTAGACAAATATGGTCCCTTCGAACCCTCCCATAAACTCTGGAACCATATATGCTTCATCATTTTCGATAAGTCTCCTTGTTCTAAAAGTTTCTTACAGCTTCAGGACTTTATACTGTGCATGACCATTCACAGTATTCGGCATACTGTTATCAATAACTCTTTATTATTAATCTTAAATGTTATTAGCCTCTGACGGAAAACCATTATATAGTTCATTTCTCTATTCATTCTACTAACTAAACGCTTCTGTTGTCATAGAAACATACGGCGTTATTGATTAGTTGATGACGTAGCTGAATTTCAAGTTAACGTCATTGCTGTTCATGTCTGTTAGAACATGTGTCTGCTGCAAATACCGATTAATATATTTCGATCTGCATGTATTTTCATTAGCGCAGTGTTACTGAGAGTTGAGGACAGTGAATTGGAAAATTTCAATTACGTCCTCTAGTTTCAATCCCTTTTAGTACACCATTTGTTTGAGATTGAAGAATATTATGTAAATCTAAATTCTGTAGCATTTAACATTTTTTATATCTAGATCAATGCATAAAGATCCAGGGTGACACAAAAACTATCCTCAAGATTTTCTGAGTGAGCGAGTGAGTTGGGTTACAAGCCGCTTTTAGCGGTATTCTAGTTATATCACGGCGTGTCAGCTTATTGTGAGAGGAAAGCCCGAAGTGATGCAGGTCTCACACGTTTAGCACTTCGGTGAAACCTACGAGCACGGGTATGGTGCTGACAAACCTTGAAACATAATCATAGGTTCTGGCGTGCCCAAGGGACGCAGCTCTGCACAGCGAATCGCGGCGCCTCAGACGACTGGGCCACCCGTGCCCCCACAAGACTTTATGACAAGAGGGAGAACTTCATCTTTCCAACAGTCAACGTTCCCTCTATGTAAATCCTCTAAAGTTTCAAGTATATCGATAATCTGATATCAGTTAAGAACGGCGAAACAGCTTATTCCCATCGACTGTTTTGCTCATATGAAGTACAAATAAAAGAGATTAATGACATCTGTTTCCTATTTACATCGATGCATTTGGATTCCATGTGTAAAAACACTCTCCACAAAACTGCATGACTTCAACTTTCCAACAGTCAACTCTCCTTAAATGTCGAGCATTATTCCAGTCTTCATTCCACAAATTTAGAGGTACAAGTGAGCATACTCTTTCTTCGAAGATTTCAAATAGCGTCATGTAACTATTGCGCTCAAACGTTGTCTGATCAGATCTGTAACATGCACGGCCTTAGTAAAACCTTTTATGGTAGACATATGGAGGGCATTGCCAAATGAGACTCATCGGTGACCAATATGTCTGCTGCAATTCCCTATTTCGACCTGTACCATATGTTCCCGTGTTTGTTCAGCTGAACTTTGTTTTTGTTTTTTGTTGTTTAAAGCCGCACTCAGCAATATTCCAGCTATATGACGGCGGTCTGTAAATAATCGAGTCTGGACCAGACAATGCACTGATTGACATCATGAGCATCGATCCACGCAATTAGGATCGATGACATGCATCAACCAAGTCAGCGAGCCTGACCACCCGATCCCGTTAGTCGCCTTTTACGACAAGCATGGTCGCCTTTTACGGCAAGCATGGGTTGCTGAAGACATATTCTACACCGGAGCTTCACGGGTCTGTTAAGCTGAACAAAAAAGCAGCAACAAAAAACTTGTCTTCCTATGCGTATGAGCGGTACCGTCGATGGGACAGGATACGCCCACCGTTTCGCAACACCTGGTATCCTCACTATTTGACTATGCTTATGATAGTCGGAATCTACAATGGATATTTTTTTTATCTTTATGAAAAAGGTTTTGTCGCTTTTATTGTCCATTTCAAAAACGACATTGTGAATATCAAGTCATCAATTTGCTTCCCACGTATAACTACAATGTGCCAACGCAGGGTGCTCCTTTATACACATGTCTCACAAAACAATTATACGCTAATTCAATTAGAGGAACCTTCCTCCTTTATCTCGCTCAGTCGGGAACAGCACGCGGACATTGTTAGCATCATCAGCAGCAGCTCCTGTGCCACGGGACGGAGAACTCGTGCTGGTAAATGCTCTATCCAGCATTCTCATTACTACAAATTGCGATGACAGGAGTTCACATAAGTTAACCCTCCTACCCCTTCCCTTGTTGAGTTAAACATCCTCTGACTTAGGAAACATATAAAATACAAAAATGTTTATTTGTCAATAGTACATTTACGCATCAAAACGTAATTTTAAGTGTCGAGTTCTTGCCCATTCGCTGAAAAATGTGGAGGTTCTCTTTGTTAACACAGATTGAAAGAATAAGTTTGGCTTAAATAATAATTTTTCATATTATTATTAATATTTACAGATTAAAATAAAAAATGCAGCAAAGAGGGTTTCGGTGATCCTGGCACAGTCAGGCTGGTTAGGCTCATCATCAGCTCAGGGCCCTTGCCACTCTACACGCAGCCCAGACAGCGAATGGGACTTCTCCCAGGAAGCGCTGCCTAGTCAAACCCACCCTGAACTTTTCGGAGAATGTGAAGACTCCCCAAAACTGCAGCCTTCTGCATTACCCAGATTGTCAGAAGGGCTGTATTCTTGGTCGCAAACCGCGGCATTCTCCCAATGTCAGTCAACAGATTGGGAGGTACCAAACCTAAGGCACTGGGAACAATGGGGAGCCGGACACCTTGGTACTTGGGATGCAAGCGTGACATTTCGAAAGCGAGCTCCGCATTTTTGCCATGTTTTTCCTCAATCTTGTCAATGACATTAGTGTCAAAAGGGACAGAAAATTCAATAAATTAAAATGATTTCATTGGCTTTATCAAAAAGGACAAGATCAGGTTTGTTGGCCTGGATACTTATAGTAGTAGTAGTAGTAGTAGTAGTAGTAGTAGTAGTAGTAGTAGTAGTAGTAGCAGCAGTAGAAGTAGTAACCATTTGTAATAATATGGTAATATCACTGCGTGTTCCCTTACGCAGGTCGTACATGTTCACAACTGGTGAAACCCACCAGAAGGGGTACGGTGCTGACGGTCCAAGGCTATTCTATTGTCATTATGGCAATTTTATCATTTCTGTCGGATTGTTATGTTTTACACTACATATCTGAGTGAGTAAGTAAGGTTTTACCCCGCTTTTAGCAATATTCCAGCAATATCACGGCGGGGGACACCATAAATTGGCTTTACACATGGTACCCATGTCGGGATTCGAACCCGCCTTTTCGGTGTAACGAGCGAACGCTTTAACCACTGGGCTACCCGACCGCCCCCTACATAGCTGAAAGTTCGCAAATCGGCAATCATGTTTTGTTCACAATCTATCAAAAATGTAGGTACATTATTCTTTTCCAATTTCTATATTTTGCTAATAATCTTAAAGTTTGTACATTCGGGTATATGTTGATAAAAGATTTGGAAGACAGACACATACACATGTATATTGTTGAAACCTTACCACCGAAATTGAGCAATCTTTGGAATGTATTGGCCTCTCGCCATCTCTCAATAGTTCGTCAGTTAATTAGACATGAATTAGAAATATTTTCGGACGACGCATCAATATCTGGACGTTTGACGTGGGAAGGGTTAAGATATGTTCCCAAGTACTACTCCTACTGAAAGCACATTTGCTCCTATAAATTATTCACCCGCTCCATGCATCTCTACCAAATGTACACGAACCCCTCATTGTTTCCTTGAAGCTCATGAGCCTATGGACTTGAGAAGGGTCCTTATACTACAACGCTAGATCCATGAGAAAACACTGACAAGCTTTCTCCGCATCCAATTTTCAGTCCAGCCTACAGGTGAGTTCGAAGCAGTACATTTCTTTTAAATATGTATATACGCTCGAGGACTTGTACAAATTTCAGAGAATCATATGTCAAAGAAATTATTTTAGGATGTTAGGAGTCCGGGTGCGAATTGAAGTTTTTTGGCCATGGTAAATCCAATCTGTGTTGTATATTTTTTGTTAAATGCACGTACATCTACAGATTTCTAGCCAAAATGACTCACTTAATTGTTTTTTTTAAACAGATAGGTATAGTCCTTTTTACATGGATTAACTTATATATGTGGCCGGCCTCCGGGAATAACAATGATACTATAGTTGTGAAATACAATTTCTTCTTTTACAATACAAAAGATAAGTCTTTGAAGATGGAAATTAAATTAAAAAGTCAATGTAAAAAATTTATCTGCAAAATCATGTGTGATAATTTATTTTGGGTGATTGAAATTAGCACTACCGCGGTTTGTTAATCCCAAACAGTTTCAGTCAGGGTACTACATTATTTATCATTCTGGAGTGAGTGAGTTATCAATATTTATCGTCGCATCGGCAATATTGCGAGCTATTACAAAAATGAGGAGGTTGACCTGGAGTCCATCATTATCAACGTAATGTGACCTTATGACACCAGAACAGTCATTTTTAACAGTTTGTAGTTACCATGACAAAAAACATAAACACAAACAATAACCCCCTGGAATTTCAGTCATCACCTACATGTTAATTATATTTTACCAACTCTACAATACATGGATGTCGTCGAACTCGGTTGTCATCCAAGCCGTTTAAGACGATGAAGGTGTCCTAACGTTTAAGAAACGTTTTCTGCCGTCTCACGTCGAAAAGAGTAGCCGAGAAATGCTATATTTTCGCAACATCACATGTCGATCAGCTCCGTTGAATATTTTAAACATTAATTTTGTTAAAATTCGCCTGGAAACTGATTTATCACATCTCCTGTTATAATGTGGTAAATATTAAATTACAAACGTATTTACTTTGTTTTGTGATTTCTAATCGCATTTCGATGGACGCTGGATATTTAAGTACATCTGCGTCAAAGCTTTTAAATGTGTTTGTTGCTTTTATTTGAACAGAGCTTTACGGACAACATAATAATATTGGCAGTCCTTTAGAATAAAGTGCCGAGAATATTATAACCAACAGAATTTGATATTTAGCTTTCTTGTTCAGACCTGTGATTCAGACGCTGAAAAACACATTCTAATTTGTCGTGATATCGCAAAACATTAACCCGTGTCGTGCGAGCTCGTATCACACACATATTTATAGAACAGAGTTTAGGTTAGGCAATGTTCACCAGTCAGTAGGTTCGAAATGAAAACGGCTTTATAACTTATCAATGGGCAATCCCTTTCCTGAATTTAAAGATTTTTTTTATCGTTTTTAGCATTCTTACATCAACTAGAATATTGTATGTTGGAAACATCTATTCTTTAAATCCTAAGTTTCTTCACGTTCATGTAAATTTAATTGATGCCGGGTGAAAACAAATTCACATCTCGTTTCTCTTCATTTTAAAATGTTAGTGTATATGTGAGTTGGTGTATTTGACTCAGTTTGAAATACGTTGCAAGGCAGAGCTAAGCCACGCAGTGGAACGGATTGCTTCGCCTCCAAGTAGGATTTCATAGCATTTCAGTGTAACAGGCTATATATCTTTCCCAGATATCGGTTCATTTATGCCATTTCTCATTGTAATGCCAGAACTGGATGTGAGCGAATCTTATAACTTCATACTTAAAAGTACTCATTTGTTCATTTTAGTTCTTGTCATTCCAGAACACCGTTGTATTGACTAAATGTTATCAAAGAACTAACGCATAACGGTACTATTGTACAGTTTTAGTAATATAGTTCAATTGTATTTTGATATATTCACATATTATAGATGTATAGTCAGTGGTCTAGAGGTAGAGCGTCCGCCCGCAGAGCGAAAGGTCGGGGTTCGATCCCCGGCCGCGTCATACAAAAAGACGTTAAAAAAAGGTACTTGTTGTTACCCTGTCTGGGGCTCGGCATTAAGGGGCTAAAGCAAGGACTGGTCCGCTCGGAGTCAGTATACTGTGTCAGAGTGGGGTATTCATGTTAAACTGCGGCATGGTATCTCAGTGGGTTAGCACTATAAATCGTATCAGTCCGGACTATTACAAGCAGCCACACGCACGCATGCATGTACGTCGCTATATAAGTGCAATAATCTTGGACGCAACGTTAAACCCCATTTCACCTCAGCTCACCTTGAAGAGATACGGTATCCCATGTTTTCAAAATGTCAATGTATATTCTTCGATTTGGAGAGAAATGTTGGGCATGATATCATAGAGGTAGAGGTATAGAGGTATAGGCACAAAATAACTTGACGCAATTGAACAAAATGTTCAGTAAAATAAGTAGGGGGTCTATCACGTTTGGAATGTGGACAAACTTGAGGAACGTGTAGTGATCAAGTACTTGCAAAACACGTACAACAGATGGGAAGGATGTCCCTTCCCATGACACCGTACAGAGGTGGAGAGCAGAGTTTAAACGTGGCAGAGAGAGTCTTGAAGACGACCTCCGTCGTTGAAGGCCTGTGACGGTCAGCACAACTAGAACTCCAGAGAATCCACAACATGGAGATGACCGACCGCCGAATGAATGCGCGTCATGCTGCTAGTTCAGTATGCATTACTCAAGAGAGAGTCCATTCCACTATCACAGAAACTTTAGAAATGAAGAATGTAACGGCTTATTTGGGTTCCAAAGCTTCCGCCATCTGATCAAAAACGCACCAAGCCCACGTCGCGTGGTATTCTAGCTCTGTTTGAAGTTGAACCTTGCAACGAGTTGTGACGATGGGGGAAACCTGGGTTTAAAACAACAGTCAAAAGATTGGAGACATCTGTTATCACCACCAAAGAACGCAAAGACTCTCCCATCAGCTGGAAAGGTTATGGCCCACCTGTTCTGGGATGCCGAAGGTGTCATCATGGAAGATTATCTTCCAAAAGGTCAGGAAATAAACGGAGAATATTATGCTGCGCCTTTAAGGTGATTACAGGATGAACTTAAAACCAAGAGACGTGGGAATCTGAGAAAAGGTGTGCTCGTCCATCACGACAATGCACGAGTGTGGCTTTGAACACCTTCAGCACCCACCTTATTTCCCTGAACTGGCCCCGTCAGATGGCATCTGTTCCCAAACATGAAGAAAGCTCAAGCCGGGACCCATTCTAATCGAAATAGCAGCCGTGGAGAACTTCTGAGCAACCAAGAAAAGGACTTCTTCGAAACTGGATAAAATTCCCCCAAATCGTTGGCAAAAGTGAATCAATGCGGATAATGGTGAAAAATACATAAACTGGGCGGCAAAAGAAAGTATAGGTTGGCAATTTGTAATTTTCCTAAAAACAGCGATAACTAGAGGAAAGTGGGTATTGGGAATATGACTGCCCAGGAACAGGTACCAAAAAAACACCTTTGACGGCGCTCGTGCGGTGACAAAAAAATGGTGAAACAGGTTTCCCGCCTATGGCATAAACTGCACGTGCATGTTAGTTGTATAAATGCGTTCGTCTGCAGGGTATAACCACACGTGATTAAAGCACACAAAAGAAATGTCACGACTGTCACAGGAGCAGAGAGAGAGAGTCATCGGTATGGCCGAAATGGGGGCAACACAGGTCCAAATCGCCAGAAGGTTTGGTTGTACACCATTGACAGTAGCCGGGCTGATTCAACGGTACAGGCAGACAGGGAGGACACAGGACAGGCCTAGAACCGGACGACCCCAAGTGACAACACAACTGGAAGACGGTCAGATATGGCACATTCACCTGCGAAACAGATTCGGAACGGCGACGGCAGCAACAGCGTTGGCACATACCATTAGCCAACGTACAGTACTACGACGACTTCGTGTTGCTGGAATCCGAGCGTATCGTCCTTTCCGAGGAATGGTACTGACTGCTCAACATCGACGCCTGAGACTGCGATGGGCGAGGCAGGTTCGACGCTGGCAAGTGAGAAATTGGCGTCGAGTGCTGTTTACTGATGAAAGTCGGTTTAACCTGTTTCGAAATGACGGCAGAGAACGAGTTTATCGACGCAGAGGGGAACGTTTGGCTCCGGCGTGTATTCGAAAGGTCCATCCATTCGGCAGGGGAGGTGTCATGGTGTAGGGCGGTATTTGTGGAGATCAGAAGACTGATTTGGTGATTATACAGGGAAACCTGAACGCTGTGCAGTACAGAGACCAAGTGTTGCAGCCAGAAGTGCTTCCGTTCTTGCAAAACCAACAGCAGGGGACATTGTTTCACCACGACAATGCCAGGCCCCATACTGCAAGACTGACTCGGAACTTTCTAAACCAGCAGAACGTTGACGTTTTGCCCTGGCCTGCCCACTCACCCGATGTGAATCCTATTGAACATCTGTGGGACCATCTTGACAGACAGATTAGAGCACGCCATCAGCCTCCCGTCAACAGACAAGAATTGCAGCAGGCCCTGAGGGAGGAGTGGCAACGGATTCCAGTCCAAGTCATCAGAAGACTGACGTTATCGAGGAGGCGGCGTATCACAGCATGCATTGAGGCAGCTGGAGGTCATACACGATATTGAAGGCAAATGTGTCTGACAAATTTTTGGTGACATTTCAGACAACTTTTGAAAATGAAATTTCTTACCCCACCATTGTTTACCTTGAGCTTATATTACCTGTGATTGCACAATTTCATTCAAACTGTGATTGATCAATCATGTGTTACCCCTCCCTAGATTATATTATAATTCACACAAAAAAACTTCTTGTTTTGTTTTTTATCGATCATGGAACTCGACCTATACTTTCTTTTGCCGCCCAGTTTAATTTAATGTCTTCAGGTCAAATTTGTCTATGTTTGTCGCAGAACATTACCTGTCACCCCTAGATTATTGGGACTTATGGTGTACGAGTGGGAAAAACCGTTGTTACAGATATAGCAAATAATCCGTCTAAGTTTTGTTCATA